CTCGTAATCTGTCATGCGCCCTGTACCGCCTCCTCATGCTGCTGCCAGTCCAGATTGTGTCATGGGCCCCCGTACCGACTCCTCATGCTGCTAGACCAGGCCCTAATCTGTCATGGCCCACTGTACCGCCTCCCCATGCTGCGGCCAGGTCCAGAAGTGTGTCATGGGTCCCTGTACGCCTCCCATTGCTGCTGCTCAGGCCCGTAATCTGCCATGGGCCCCCCCGTACCGACATCCTCATACTGCTGGGCCAGGCCCGTAATCTGTCCATGGGCCCCTGTACCGCCTCCTCATGCTGCTGCAGGTCCAAGTGTGTCATGGGTCCCTGTACGGCCTCCCATTGCTGCTGTCTCTATCGCCACACTCTGCCATGTGCCACTTTCAGGTCTCCTCACACTGCTGGTGGCCGCCATACTGTGGCTCCACACTCTGGTTTTGGCCCCGTGACTGCCCAAATGAGTGAAGTGTGCGGTGATTCTAAGATTGACGGCACTCATCTGCATGTCATACTGACTGACAGTATTATTTCTCTTCCCCAGCAGACTCCAAGGGCATTTAAATTAAAGGTACAGTTTTCTGCACTAATATTAAGTCTCTCTGAAGCCTAGAAACACCCTTTTTTAAGTTAAATTCACAGCGAATATATTCGACTCGAATCAAAATTTTTCCACGAATTCGCCGAATCAGTCGAATCGAATTTTTGAATACTTCGCTCATCTCTAAGTATCATGTATTTCTGTCGTCTAAGAGGTTTGCAAATAACGTCATACTAAGTATAGTTTAGAAGGTTTACATATATGGACACTAAGTATAAGTTTAGAAGGCTTACATATATGGACACTAAGAGTATATGTTAAGAAGAAGCACAAATAAGGGTTTTACTTATTTAGCCAACACTGAATTAGGAAATAACTGTTTAGTGGGTTGGTCTGGTAAAATATATATAAGATGTGCCTTAGAGATAGAGAGTCACATACACTCACTCACACTCATACATCAAGACATTATACAGCTGACACGCACTGACATATTTGTCTCCTGGTAAGGCCTGCAAAGCCTTGATACACCTGTTGTCTTCCTTGCCAAGACTGAAACACTTGTCATAGAACAGGCAAGAGATTAGACATTTCTCCAAAGCTTATTTCTTTTTCCATAATCTACAACTTTTGTTATATTTAACTCTGTATTTTATTTTATCTTTTGTATTCATTTTTGATGCCAAGTGTGAATTAAATAAAAGTCACACTGTTTTAAATCAGCCTGGCACTAGAACAATTTGCCTCAAACGCCTAAAGACAGACACTTAAATAATATAAGTGTCACGATATTTAACAATTCTATTTTCATGGTTTCTGAACACAGATTTTAAAAGCATTCCAAGGTTGTTACAGCTTTCATTCCCAGGTTAAACATTGGGGGGGGTTAGTGGTACCAGACAGCTAAAAGATAAAGACTGGACATGATACCAAGTTGTAAAATTAATGGATGAGTCCATTATTAATAAATATATATTTTTGCACATTATTGCTTTTTATTTCATCTTCAAATTAGCTCAAATTAACTTGGATGTCAGTTGATTTATGAAAATTAGTAGGGAATCTCCTTAATTCCAGATCCCTGCCTGTTTTCATAAATTTTATACTGACTTTTTTTCTCAGAGCCAAAGTTCTGACATATTTTGAAAGCCCCAGTACATTTGAAACAAATAGAAAAATATAATTGTGCAAATACTGTATATATATTTTCTTGGTTTTAAAAGCACTGTTACATTTACAGAAAAATGTTAAGTGTTCCTTGTAGATCTAGCAATTCTAGTTCAGAATCTGAAGCCATTTTGAGCCAGATATTAGAAATTTCAGGTGATGTATTTTGTGAAAGATAGATTGAACAATAACTACTTGCCTACGGAGCATTTATACCCCCTTCTTGTCCAGGCCAATTTTCAGCTTTCAGTGCTGTCACACTTTGAATGACAATTGCGTGGTCGTGCAACATTGTACCCATATGAAATTTTTATAATTTTTTTTCACACAATAGATCTTTCTTTTGGTGGTATATACACGCCGCTAGGTGTTCTTTTTTTTGCGCTATAAACAAAAACAAACAGAAAAAAATTAGAAAAAAAAAGTTTCTGTGTTTTTATTATAAAATTTAGCAAACAGGTAATTTTTCTCCTTCACTGATGTGCGTTGATGAGGCTGCACTGATAGGTGGCACTGATGGGCACGGCTAGGTGGCACTGATGGGCATGGAGAGGCGGCACTGATGAGGTGGCACAGATGAGGCTGGCACTGCGATGTTGGCACTGATATGCAACAATGATGGGTGACACGGATAGGCAGCACTGATGATGCAGCACGGACAGGCAGCACTGACGATGCTGGCACTGATGATGCTGGCACTGATATGGAACAATGATGGGCGACACTGATGGGTGGTACTGACTGATGGCACTGATGGGCACAGGTGGGCGTCACTGCTAGGCACTGATGGGCACAGGTGGGTGGCACTTCTGGGCACGGCTAGGTGGTACTGATGGGCACGGAGAGGCGGCACTGATGAGGCGGCACTGATAGGGAGCACTCATGAGCTGGCACTGATGAGGCTGGCACTGTGATGCTGGCACTGATATGCAACAATGATGGGCACTGATGGGCGGCATGGATAGGCAGCACTGATGAGGCGCCAAGGATAGTCAGTTCCCCCCACTGTCAGAATGTCTGCTGCAGTCCCCCGCCATAAGTCGCTGATTGGCGCTATTATTAGTATACAAAAAAAAGTATCTATACCGCCATTTGTAAACACTATAACTTTCACCTACAGTTGCAAGAAAAAGTATGTGAACCCCTTGGGATTACGTGGAGTTTTGCATGAATTGGGCATAAAATGTGCTCTGAAAGTCACAACAATAGAAGAACACAGTCTGCTGAACATAATACTACACAAACATTAGATGTTGCCATGGTTTAATTGCACATAACATGTAAACATTCACAGTGCAGGGAGGAAAAAGTATGTGAACCTTTGGACTTAATAACTGGTTGACCCTCCTTTGGCAGCAATAACCTCAACCAAACGTTTCCTGTAGTTGCAGATCAGACCTGCACAACGATCTGGAGTAATTTTGGACCACTCTTCACAAAACTGTTTCAGTGTAGCAATATTCTTGGGATGTCTGGTGTGAATCGCTCTCTTAAGGTCATGCCACAGCATTTCAATCGGGTTGAGGTCAGGACTCTGACTGGGCCACTCCAGAAGGCGTATTCTGTGCTGTTGCAGCCATTGTTTTGTTGAATTACTTGTATGCTTTGGGTCATTGTCCTGTTGCATCACCCATCCTCTGCGGAGCTTCAGTTGGCGGACAGATGGTCGTATGTTTTTTCTGCAAAATGTCTTGATAAAACTCTGGAATTCATTTTCCCATCAATGACAACAATCCGTCCAGGCCCTGAGGCAGCAAAGCAGCCCCAAACCATGATGCTCCCTCCACCATGTTTTACAGTGGGGATGAGGTTTTGATGTTGGTGTGCTGTGCCTTTTTTTCTCCACACATAGTGTTGTGTGTTCTTCCCAAACAACTCAATCTTGGTTTCATCTGTCCACAGTATATTTTGCCAATAGTGCCGTGGAACATCCAGGTGCTCTTTTGCAAACTTCAAACGTGCTGCAATATTCTTTTTGGACAGCAATGGCTTCCTCCGTGGTGTCCTCCCATGTACTCCATTCTTGTTTAATGTTTTCCTTATTGTAGATGTGTCAACAATAATGTTAGCATGTGCCAGAGATTTCTGTAGGTCTTTAGCTGACACTCTGGGATTCTTCTTTACCTCATGCAGCATTCTGCGCTGTGCTCTTGCAGTCATTTTTACAGGACAACCACACCTAGGGAGAGTAGCAACAATGCTAAACTTTCTCCATTTGTAGACAGTCTGTCTTACTGTGGACACATGAACATCAAGGCTTTTGGAGATACTTTTGTAACCCTTTCCAGCTTCATGCAAGTCAACAATTCTTGATCGTAGGTATTCTGAGAGCTCTTTTCTGCGAGGCATGGTTCACATCAGACAGTGCTTCTTGAAACCAGTAAACCCAAAACAGGTGTGTGTTTTCTAAGGGCAGGACAGCTGTCAGCAACACATCTAATATCATCACACTGATTGGAGTCAAGGTTGGCTCACTCCTGGCTCCAATTAGCTCTGGGAGAAGTCATTAAGCTAGGGCCTCACATACTTTTTCCTCCCTGCACTGTGAATGTTTACATGTTATGTGCAATTAAACCATGGCAACATCTAATGTTTGTATAGTATTATGTTCAGCAGACTGTATTCTTCTATTGTTGTGACTTAGATGACGTTCAGAGCACATTTTTATGCCCAATTCATGCAAAACTCCACATAATCCCAAGGGGTTCACATACTTTTTCTTGCAACTGTAAACCAATTAATTTACACTTATTGTGATTTTTTTTTAGCAAAGACATGTCGCAGAATACATTTTGGCATAAATTTATGATGAATTTTGATTTTAAAATTTTTTTACTGGACATGTTTTATAGCAAAAACGAAAACAAAGAAACACAGCGCCTCTAAGTGTGTACTGTGAATGTATTTAATAAAAAGATAAGTAGTAATTCACATCTTAGAATTGAAAAACAGGCTCATGGGTAAGAGGGTGAGACGTCTGTAGCCAGATGATGTTGTGTGTCTGATCCAGAGAGGAGATCGATTGAGTCCGTCAGCAGGTGGTGCTGTGCATGTGCAACATGGATGGTAAGCCTGGTGGAATCTCCAAGGTGTCTGCCAGCAGATGGCGCCGATCATATGCAGCATGGATGGTGGAGCTTGGCAGAGTCTCCAAGATGTCCGGTATCAGCACATGTGGCGTCTGATGTCATCAAAATCCGACGCGTTTCTGAGCATGTACAGGACGAGATGAGTCCAGGCGCGCTCTTTCATCAGGCAGGGAGGAACTGGGGGTGAAGGAGCCTTTTATAGAGCAAGGGGCGGATGATGAACAGGGCCAGGGGCGGGGAAAGGAGGAGGAAGCTGTCACAGAGCACCAGACAAGCTGTCTGTGAACAGGAAGATTAATGGCACAGGTGGAGGGATAATATACTTATATAAACATATCATAAAATGTGGGTTTAACATAAAAGCAAGATCAGCACAATATAGGAATTAATAGTGAATGTTAAAATTATGAGACACTTAGAGGTAATGTTAAAAAGCATGGGATTAGGGAAAAAAAATAAACTACACACATAAGTTATATATATATATATATATATATATATATATATATATATATATAATAAATAGGTATCCATTAGAATATATATATATATATGTGTGCATGTATACCCCTATAAAAATGACAGAATGGATGACTGGTAGAGGATAACCCTGCGTAGGAAAATAGTTTTGGTATAGGTTCCTAGCATGGAAAGGAAATTAGGGGATGTCAAAGGGGGCAAAGGGTGATAAATGAATTCCATAATTTATGGTAGCCACAGCAATGCAGTGGATATGTGGCAACCATACGTAGATAGGAGAGCATGCTGTAATGGAGGTGCATGCGTATATGGTTAGGT